ATAAAGTACGAAGCACAAGCAAAMATTGTAGCAATGTCAAAGATGTACCGTAAAATATATTATATATTTTTTTTTTATTATATTTTGTTGTAACAAGCCACAAAAATATTTTGGCGCAAGTGCAAATAAACCAAGCGCACACCAAACTAAGGGACCAACTAAAAAAATTTGATTTGAAAATTAAAATTTTAATTCGTCTACTGCTCAAATCAATGTTATTATTTATATTACGTACAATAAAGTAATAATAAAAAATAAAAAAAATAAAAATAAAAAACCTTAACCCTTTAGGTTAGGCTAGTTTAGGTTAATTTGGTAGTCCAATAAGCCACGCTTAGACCAGTTTGGTCCARAGTTTAGTTGCAAACGGGCATAGCCATTCGAGAATTTTAACAGACTCTGCGWCCTTTCTATAGACACCTCTTYCAATGTATCATACCGTGGGAACCCCAGATGCTTACAGCTTAGTTKTGCCAATGTCCCCGGTGTCTYGTTTTAGACATTTCATGCAGTTTTTTCATTCTGTCAGCCCGATTCTGCGCGCCTGTGTCGCCACCAGACAGTGACCAATTAGCATTTGCATCATGTCCCTACAGTCTCTTCTATCGAATGCCAATAAGAATGCTCTGTTCTCCCGATCTACCGTTTTGTATATGACTTTTGTAGTTTTGCACCCAGGTAGCTCGTTCCAGAGGGATTTRATTTTCTTTACCAWGCTTTTGCCGRGATCGTCGTATAKACAATGCAWGGGTTTCCCAATGTTGATCACGTGTTTGGATGTTAGCAGTACACCATTCTTGGCAGTTCGTCCACTATTTCATTGCCCTCGATGCYTTTGTGGCCTGGCACCCAGTAGAAGTGAAGCTGCTTACTTSTGGCAACACCTTCCACTTCTGCCCTGCTTCCCAATACGCTTCTGGCCGAYATGCGATACGAGGCAACTGCCTGGATTGCTGCTTTGCTACCTACGTAGATGTTAACTCTGGATTTGGCGGTAGCTGCATTATAGGCCAGATTCGCAAAGACTTCAGCTTGAAATATACTGCAGTGGTCCGGCAACTTAAAAGGTTGCCTTATGCCTAACTCTGGACATTATATTCCAGCATCAACTCCATCGTCCATTTTCGAGCTATCCGTATAGAGTTTAAAGTATTAACAGCCATCTTTTCCTATGTTTACTTTTAACTTTATTTTTCAGTTAAAAAAAAAAACCCTTATCGGTGTTTGCCCAGCCGCCATTACCCATCGAACTATGCCTAAAGRTTCTATATGTAAATTCTCCTGCAGCCAGTAGTCGTCCCACCCATTCTGTTACGCAGTTTTCAGCGAAGAAGTTTATATATGGCAGGTTTGGTACCAATTTAAGAGCGGCCGTTAGAGTTGTTCTCTCATTATGCACAGCGCAGCGAACCTCTAAATTCTTTCCATTRGCTACCGCTAGATGGATTTCCGTACGCCTGTTCACCATGCCACTGCATCGCAGAGTAGAATTGATCTAACAATAGCTGTGTAGCACCAGTGCATGATAGAGGAAGAGAGCCCCCAGGTTGTGCCGAGCAGATACAGATGTATGCAGATACACGCATATAAAGCATTGCTGGTTTTCATCACACTTTCTTCGAAGTTGTGCTTCCACAGCAGGTTTCTGTCCAGACTAACCCAAGGTACATGGTCCGTAGCGATCTTAAAATTGAGGCCACTGACTCCGAATTTCGATAGTAAATTTTAATAATTTCGACTMGTTGTTGGATCGTAAATATTTCCATGATGAATTGCCAATCCCTACTGAAGAGAAATGTCAAAAGAGCGGGGGAAAATATGGCGTCGTTTGCTGTCCCTGTCGCTCTATTTTTATAGCGTCTCTGTTAGGTACATCGAATAAAGGTTTTGGTACTTATTTCAAACCACCGGGTGACACGGCGTAACAGCAAAATCATTTGGTACTAAACATGTGTGGAAACCCTCACTGCATCGCTTAATTCAAAGTACATGAAAAGTGGTAAACAAAAGCGGCCAAAAGTAAAAACGAATGATGAAAAATGGAGAATTTGTTAAAATCTTGAGCATAATATAAATTTTGCATAACCAGCACGAGATGTCGTCTCAACTCTTCTCAACAACAAGCTTCATGTCATGTAGCATGCGCAACAAAAAAGATGCGACGTCGTGTTTAACTTGAAAATTTCCAAAACAAAACTTGAAATAATAAAAAGAAATAACGAAAGTACTCGTTTTACATGCAAAAGTTGCACAGAGAACAAAAATATTTATCTTTGCACACAGCAAAGTTCGTATATATGTATATCCAATATATGTAGGTATGTGCATGCGTACATTTGCACGGATTTGCATGTGCAATGTCTAGTATGCATCCTGTAGTCGAACACACTCGCATTGAAGCAGAAATTTACTGCTTTGTTTTGCAGCGTAGCAAGCTTTAGATTTTTTTCCAGTGAATTATAAAACATAATTTGCTTTGCTTTTATTAAATTTTTCGAAATTTTGCAAATAATATTTTATGCGGCTGCTTACCTTGTCACATATGATAATTACGGCGCCTCACGTAGGAACAAAACTAGTAGCGGCGTAGCGCGTTCGTTGGTTTCTCACTGCGTGGTATTCATAGCGGTCACTCATACGCCACCGTGTGCACTACGCCATTTGCTGCTTACTTGGAAATGTGTGCGCACATATTGTTTGGCAACTGCAAAAGTTTCGTCATAACATTCGGTACATTATGTGACATTCTGTGGCGCTGCCATTGGATTGAGGTTTTTGTTGAAAAAGTGGAAAAGTGTTCGGCACAAATACTGGTTGGTGGTTTGCTTTAGACTTTCATCATTGCTCGTTTTTCATTTCATGCGAAAAAATTGAAATCTTACCAGAATTTTTCGCTGGGTCGTCCTATAGGTGCAGAGAGCATCGACGCATTTACAAAAGCCAAAGTCGGTGTGTATTTTGCCTTGCTAAACGGTTGGCTGCTGAATTTCCATGCTGTGCGTGATATTGCTAATTTTTGGTATTTTTTAGGTTATTTTTTTAAATTCTTCCTGTCTGCAGCTGTTACCAAACACTCTGTGGGCAAAAGTTCAGCATTGTCTACTCGAAAAATTGCAGGTTGTGCGTAACAAGATAAAGTGCGCAAAGTTGATGACCTTCACTCCAATAAACCTTGGCACAGTGGGCTCATAAGAACTTCTTTTTTTTATAGAAAAATTTTAAAAATTACGAAGTTTTTACTTTTAGAAATTAGAATTTATTGAGTTAAGTCGACAGTCGTCTATGTTGGATCTCACGTATTTTGAGATAGGTTACTGTACTAAATTTGACTTTCTACATCCTAAACTTGACAACTTAAGACCCTTGGACCTTTGGTATGACGTCACTGTGTTAGGTTAGGTCATATGTCTGAACCCAAGAAAAAGTCCCACTTAGACTGATTATGATCAGTGCTTAGTGAATCCAGATCTAGATCTGAAAATTTAAATGTCTACTTAGGCGTTGTGCCAGCTCCGTTAGATCTCTGAAGCTGGGAGATACAAGGTTAGGTGATATGCCTGAAACCAAGAAAGTTTCGAAAGAGGATTGCGATCGGTTCTTAGTGAATCCAGTTCTGGAATGAAAATAATTTAATATTAAATGTCTATTTTAGCGTTTCGCCAGCTCAACTGAGAGATCCAGCTGTCCAGGTGTGAGTTTCAAGGTGTTTTGGTCTTGATATCGCAAATGCGATGCAGTGCATAAGAAAGTGTTGAGCTGTTTCTACCTCGTCTTCTACAACGYGTATCTGGCAAGATTTTTAACCTTACCACGTGGACACCAATAGACCAGTAATAATCTCTACATTTACATTTAGAGAAATCTTAACCTTGCTGAGTACGAAAARCTCRCTAGTYTCATAGTRACWYGCTRGAGAACAGCGGAGCTMHKSCTCGTTTCCAACTCCAGCAATATATGKTTRAGGTGTCCTTCCTTCCGTTYCCACGRCAGTCGGGTCTACATAACCGAAACGGATCCGGACTTTCATCCGACCAAGGACTGTCACTTCGCTACAACAACAACAACAACTGTCCTTCCTTATCAACTCGTCACTTTTACAGTTGTCTACGATTTTGCCACTTAAATTAGTCTTATCCGGAATGTAACCGACGTATTTGTTAACCACGAGTTCACAATCAGTTATAATCTACAATTAGGTAAGGAGTAAACTGGCTCAGTGCGAAAAGTTCGCTGGTTTTACTGCGACTTTAACTCAGAAGCATTCTGAACCCGCAGGGATATCGACAATTGTTCAGCGTCCATAAAGTTCTCAGCTGTGCAATGATATCACGCTAGACGAGAGCGAAACTTCGCTCTCAGGTTGAGGTGCCCTTCTTTCTCAACTCTTCACTTTTACAGTTGCCTGCGATTTCTCTCTGACCTGGTATGGAAACTAGTCTTACCCCGAAGTAAGCGGTTGTCATTGACAGCTTCCTTAGCCAGTCTCGAGCGCACGAACAGTGAATTTTAAATCGAAATTGTTCGAAAAAAGTGCTTTTTTCACACATTTTTTAAATTTTATTAATTTTTACCTTAAAGTATTACCTCGAGCTTTTGATTTGGTCCCATTATATGCTGATTAATTCGGTACCTGTGGCAGAAGAAAAAGTTTAGCGCAAAACATGACGCCATGAGTGAAATATTAGCAATTTAATTTTTTTATTTTTTCATACTGTTTTATTTGCTTTTTGAAATTTGTTCAGTAYACTTCGCAGGCTCTTAATTTACATAATTATTCCCACTTAAAGGCTGCGTACTTTGATAGGTTTGCCTGTACAACCATATATGGTATAACTCACAAAAATATTTACATTTTGAGAAATGGGTACTGGTCAAACCAACTTGAGAGAGTGTGTAGATATGTATTATGGCGGCAGAATTCGTAAAGTAATTGACTAATCACCGTTGCGGTAATCTCCATGGCTTGTAATGGATGGAATGAGCTTTTTACCGTTATATGCTAATATTTTGTTGCTTTAGGACTAAATATATTTGGTTGTGAAACCGTTAGGTGAATTTGCTATGCTTTGAACAACAGTTGTCTACTTAAAATAAAAATTATAATTAATAGCGAACTCTTTGGAGGTGCAACCGGCCGACGGTTGCTAAGCGTTGATCGACATAATTGTGTATTGTGTGTGTGTGAGAAGAGAGCCCGCTCTCTACTTCTGSTGCTTACTTGACAATGTCATTCTCCGTAGCCTGGGGTTTGAGGGCAAAATGCGGCCACGTCGTAATCTCTTCATACAGTCGCTGGCCCGGACATTCGGTGTCACGCACTTGCCTATGCGCCAATAATTTATATGCGGCATCGATATAACCTTTGGCCATGCCGAATTCAATCAGTGATTTGGCCGCTGCAAGCATTTGTGGTGGTGGCAGCTCAGCTATAAACAAAAATCATAGACATTTTTCATTTAGTTTTGCTAACGCGCGCATAAATCATATGCGTGTGACCGCTTCGCATACTCACTACGCCAATCGCCAATCATGCAGATGCCAACACTACGGTCATTGTATTTGGGCGCATGCGCGCCAATCACATTGAAACCACGTCCAACATAAATCATGCCATCGCCCCCGATCGCAAAACTATAGCCAATGTCATTCCAGCCACGTTGCAACTGATGGTAGTCCTGCATGGAGCGCATCGCCTTGATGCAATCGGCGCGGTTGTAACAGGCGCTGGGCATATACGAATGATGGATGATGACATATGGCGCTGGGCCGTTAAAGTGTTCGACGAGCGTTGACGGACGCGCACCCCAGTTGGCGCGTGATATTATTTGCGTTTGTGTCGCCGGCATCTGCTGCCCGAAACCTGTGAGATGAGAAGAGAAATAAGCGGAAATTGTAATCATAAGTGCATTTTGACATTTTTGTGCGTTTAAATTCGGAAAGGCATGCAACATGCGCGTAGTTTTAGGTATATTTGCCAGCATATTGAGATAATTGAAAATATTGCAGAATTATGAAAGTGCGTACTGAGGCTGATTGATTTATTGTAGGCGAGGCGTGAGAGACTACAATTTAAATAAAACTTCATTAAAACGAAACTGAAACTGAAACAAACTCGATTAAGTACAGTTTTGCGCGAAAAAAGTGAATGTCTTAAAATTACACTAKTTAGTATTTGGCCCCATTTCCTTCGGTATGCTTCTCCATTGGAAGATATGGCTCCAATCTCCTGTAGAAGTTCACGAAAGTGAGAGAAGTGCTCTGAGCCCCATTCACTTGGGAATGACCAAAAATGATTCTTTTACATATGGCTCAAGCTCACGATTTCCGGTCCTATACCAAATATCCTCTGGGTAGCCAAAAAATATCAATTTGAAGGCAAGCTAAAGAGAGAAGGCAAAACATCACAGCAGTGTGTGCTGCTTTTGGGATCCGCCACGTTAAAAATACGACCAATGTACAGAAAAAAACAGCCTCGGATGAGAGTCTCTCTTTCTGTTGACGACCCCTGCGAACGTGTTAAGGATTACGATTTGGTCTCCGAAATTTCCGATCCCTTAATTGGGAAAGTACCGCTGCCCAGCTTGTTGACGTCCTCGTTGGAGTAAAGCCTGACATCAGCGCCGTTGAAGAAGTGCGATGGAGGGGATAAGGACTGAAACTAGTAGGTTTTTGCGGCATTTATTGCAGTGGTCATATAAAGGAGCGCAAATTCAGTGTGGGATTCGAGGTGGGAGAGAGACTCCGTCGYCGACCCGGTGGCTGAACGTCCAGCCACAATTCGCACCAAAGCGAAGGACGATGTGACCAAATACGTCCTATATGAGCGCTTGGTTCACACTTATGAAAGCTGCTCTTCACGATGCCAAAATCGTGCTTGGCGACTTGGCACAACGGTCTGTAAATTCCGACACCATGATGAAACATCCCCAAATGGGTTGAGGTTGATCGATGGAAATATTGTTATTTGTAGTACCAGGTTTCAGCATAGAAAAAGATCCATCCTTTTGTAAGTACTTCGTAGCTCCTCCATATTGCTCGGATGAGTTGAAATCGTTCACTTTGGAGTCAGCGAGTCACAATTTGTGCAGTGTGTTTTGGATCATTATCCWGTTGAAAAAGTGTTCGGAGGAGTCATCGAAAATTGGACTCAACGGATGGAGACGTAACCGCGGAAAGCATTTGAATGAGATAACCTACAAAAAATAAATGCCAACGAATGCTCTTTGGGATGATAATAAACATTCCCCCCATTAAATGTGAAGTTTATGATTTTTTTTCTTTAAAAAGGTAGGATACCTCGAAATGTATCACCCTTTATTATATTTCATATGCATTTTTTCATTGCCAAATCCAGATTGAAACTCTCACGTTCACGATTTTTGCCTAATAGTCGGTCTTTAATTATTTAATTGAAACGCATATATGTATATACATAAAAATAACAAGTAAAACAAAAAAGTGAAAACAAATCCATTTAATAATGCAATAAAAAATGTGTTGCAAATTGATTGTTTTTTTTTTTTTTATAAAATCCGTTTTTTTCGCATATCGCAGTAAAAATACTTTCTAAAAGCGAAAATACTCAATCTATTTTAATTTAATGATTTTCATGTGTATTAACACACAAATGTAGCGGCCGAGTTTAACAAGTTTTAATTAAAATGACAATACGGCTTTGCTCGAATTAACTAAGGCTTACTACAATGCAAATAAATATAGATTACAGTTATGAAAGTCATATGAGCGCAAACATACGCATACATCTGACAGGCATAAAATTCTCGCCTCTGATGGCACCCAACAGCTGTCACTTGTATAAACATATATACATACATACATACATATTGCATTCACAATGAAAATGTGTTGTCATAACACAATGCTCTGCTGTCAAATCTATTATTTAGCATAATGTTTTTTGTCTAATTAGTCATAATTAATTAAATTCAATTAAAAATGGCCCATCGTAAAACATAATATGCACTGCTGTGGTCCCTGGCCACCACATACTTATTATTATTATTATTATTGTTGCTTTAAAGCGCTGTAAACAGTGTTGTCGGCCTTCATTTTTGAAACGTGCTCACATAGCGATACTAAAGCGTTACGAAGCATTAGGGAGATGCTGTTGGGGTTTGGAAAGTATGAAATAAAACAAAGTTAGCGTAAAAGTTAGGTTATACTGACCGGCTGTGACGTGTTTAATTAATGCTGAAGTATGCGTCATGCAGGATGTTTTTTGCGAACTAAGATATCTAAGACGAGTTGTAGATAATGCTTGACAAATGCATAGGAGGTGTTCCAGCGTCTCTTTTATGCTTACTTTTCTGCACTTTCTGCCTTTATTTTTGTTACTTATGCCCAATCGGTTCGCATGTGATACCCGCAGGTTGTAAGCAATAATTAAACTAACAAACATCGTGCAGTCTTTTCGAGAGCATGTGAGCTAAAGCAGGACCCGCAACCTTTTGTACATGATCTCGAAAATTTTGCCTGTCCTTAAGACATTCCATTTCACCCTATTACGTCTGTCCACCGGAAAGTATATTTTATATTGTTTTCAATGACTTCTGCCTTTCCTGTACTGATTCGGTAGCTAGACGGATGGCACTACTGGCAATATCATCAGTGGTTTCGTTTCCTTTAGTTCCTTTGGGGCCTGGAACTCAGTATGTATGCACTTGTTACATCTACTGCTATCCTGCTGCTAAGGGCATTCTCTGGCGTAATGTGATTGAGGATTATTGCCTATATTGCCGCCTGACTATCGATGTATATAATGGTATTCTTTATGTGTTTCTGGCATTGTTAGTCATCTCAGGCGCTGTCCAGGCAAGACTTGCGCCTAGCTACATAAAAAAAACTAAAACATAAACTACATACTGGTATGTCAATGTCGAGGTATTTCTCGTACAGCTCCATCGACTGCGGTATTCACCATTGCCAATGCATAAAGGACCAACTCTTCCGCAGAACCTTTCTCTCGAAATCTCTTACCGCCGACTAATTAGATGTTGTCATCGTCTAGGCCTCTGTACCGAAAGCAGTACGGCAATRAYGAGTGACTTGTAGAGTTTGGTCTTCGTTCGTCGAGAGAGGACTTTACTTCTCAATTGCCTACWCAACCCGAAGCCATCTTTTAGTGCTACTTTTTAGATGTAACTTCTCTCCCAAAGGTATGGAAAGATTTTATATTTGAAAAATTTCGCTTACTAAAACAAGGCAACACTGGCGACCAACACTTCCCACAACTGATTAAATTCGATCCATGGTGTCGTAATATATTCAATGTTTGTATATAACGCGTTACGTGTTTTCGGTTGCGCAAAATCCAATTTCATTTGATTTATATCATTATAATTAAATGACGTTACGCCATGGCAAATTCAAATAGCGTGATTAATGTGCTTAAATTGAAATCAATATACACATATGAATATAATATCGATAAAAACAAACAAAATTACAGACGACCGACTAAATCCATAGGTAAATTTGTTTCTATGGAAAGCATATTTAAATCGGAACTTAATCCTAATACTGTGGGGCGGAGTATAGCAAAAATTAACAACTCAGCCTGCCTCATCGATGTTGCACAGCATATATTAGCCACCATTTCGCACGAGATATCACCTATCAAGTGTGTTGGGCTGTCAAAGTCGAATTTTGGGAATTAGAAAAAAAAAAAAAAAAACTATTGTTTTAAAGTTCCTTATACATATTTTAAGACAGTACAGAGTAATATTTTTGAAGGGAAAATTAGTTAAATATTTGTCGGGTTCTCCGGGACCTCCGAAGCCGCTAAAGAAATGGAGAGATTCCACTCTGCTCCTTGAATTAAACCTAAGCAAAATCATACTTTTGTTCAAATCAAAAACTGGTAAGAACAGACGAAGAAATGTTAATGATGATTGGATCTTTTGTCTCCGAGTAATCACTAAAGCAAATTTGAAAATGTAGTTTTGGAAAAAAAACGAATTTAAAGTTACACTGATGAAGTTAGTCTAACGGCATCAAATCGCACGACCGAGGCGGCCAATTCTCTGGGCCATTTTGTGAGATAAAACGTTTACCAAACTTGGTTTTCAAAACATCGATGGCGACATTCGCTGTGTGGATGGTGGGGTGGTCCTTTTAGCATCACATGTTGTCGGTACTCATTGAGCTCTAGCGATTCCCATTCACAGTAATGTGTCGGTCTTGATCATCACGGAAGAAGCACGGTCCAGTGACGTCGCCAGCTCATGGACCGCACCAAACCGTAACTTACAACCAGAAATAAGTGTCATGGCTGTAAAAGATTTTTCGATGAAAATCAAGATAATTTTTAAGTTTTTTATCAGCCCAATTCACGAACATACGACGATTCTGGTCGTCAAGCGGCTTTAATTCTTACGTGAACTTGAAATTGTAAGGATGTGGGCCAAGATCTTCTTCCAAAATTCGTCACAGAGATGCCAAATGCTTGAGATTGACATGTGAGAGATTGTTTGGGGACTTCCTCAATTGATGCGCTAGCGTCAGCATTATTCTCAACACTACAGGCACTTCTTTGTCTCACTGACACCGAAACATTTCGTACTGTGCCTGTGGATTCAAATTTTTCCACTAGACGCTCAATTGTTGATCTGACAGCACGATTATGGCTACCATAAATTAGAGGTAGCGCTTCGAATTTCGGTAGTAGATTTTAATAATTTCGACTCGTTGTTAGATCGGCATTCCATGATGAAATGGCAAACCTTGCTGAAGAGAAATGTCAAGAGAGCGTCGTTTGCTGTCCTTAGCGGTCTACTTTTGTAGTGTCCCTATTTAAAAACCCGTTATAAACAAAGTGTTACTATTTTTTGCCCATAGTAG